TATTGTTACTGATCAGTTGATACACTGGTTGTGAGTTTAGCGACTTTGAGTCGTTGATCTCTATCTCTCGTCTCATTTTGTTTACTATACTCTAATCATGCGCAATGTCGAAATGATAATAATTAAACTACGAATGTTTACAAAAATTCGTTATTTTTATTTTGAATTCGTTGATCTATTGAAAGACAATTACGTGGAACTTTATTTTGTGTGCGCTACATCGTGTTTCTTATAAAATATAATATTTACGAATATGTTTTTCAGTAATAAACATATATAAGTTAAATAGTTAAAAAACATGAACCGCGCTTTTTATGGAAAATTTCTATGAAAAAATGTTGGTGTATATAAGTTAAAAACGAAGTGACATTTACGAGATTATGTGGCGAAATAAAAAGGCAAAGGATTAATGTAATTTATATTTCCTTTCCTTCAAGCTTACCTTTGTTAAGATAATGAAATAGCAATTCATTTCCACGTTCTAATCGCAAACGATAAGCATATGAATAAAATAAAGGAGAAAAAGATGTTGCTGTCTTTTTCAGAGCCTATATAACACCATATGTAAATTTGTTAGATTTGTAATATTTCCAAGATTTAAAAGTCGCGGTGTATCTGTCTGTTCTTTGTTTGTGGGAATCTTAACACCCATTACACTAAGTATCTTCAGCGTGATAACGTAACGCTCGTTTACTTTACGAAAACTGCAAATTCCCGTTCAAAGAAAATTGAAGAAAAACCTATCAAAACAGAAAACCGATCATTTTCTTCTTTGTCGAATCGATTCACGATTCAGCGGACGTTCTCGAGAAACGAAATGAGAAATTCTCCTTTAGTCTTTTCCTTGAATCAGTTCACAGCTCGAAGAATAACTCCGCGAGATAAGATAAAATCTGCGACGCTAAGTAAGAAGCGAAAAACGTTTTGAAACCGTTTCTTGACTGAAACTCGAAGAGAAACGCGATTATTCGAAAATCACGACAAAATACAATTGTTGTAAGCGTTGTCTCGTCTGAAAGCGTGGTTATTGAAATATGACATTTCCTAATATCAATTTCTAAAATGCTTGTAATTTTAAAACGTACTTTAAAACATTGAGAACATTGGAAACATTCAAAATATTGAAAATATAAAAATAGATAGCTACAAACAAATTATCTGGCAATGTGAGTTACGAGTTCTGTGACTATGACATAATTCTGTTACAGATTTGACACTAAAGACGGAAATTCTCCTGAAAATTCGATGTCACCGACCTAATCGATATTAATAACAAATACATCAAAATTCTGCATTCTAAATTTTGCGTACTAAATAAATGTTCGTTTTACAATTTCGCACTTAAAACAAGATACTGTTAACAAATATAGACCATAAATGAACTCCCTGCCCTATAATATTGAGTATGACTCGTAATTTGTTCATTTATCCGAAATCGAAATAAAATGCCAGTTTTTATATAAATATATAGATATAATTATCACTGTTCGAAGTAAACGTATGTTTACAATGATCAGAGACTTCTTCTTTTTTCAATAAATAATAAAGAATAAATACATATATTAGAATAGAGTAGACATTAGATATAGAATAGATATATTAGAATAGATCAGCTATTAGATATAAAAAAGATATATTAGAGTAGAATTGATATTGGGTACAGAATAGGTATATTAGAGTAAAATAAATACTAGATATAGATTAAGTATATTAGAATAGACTAAATACTAGATATAGAACAGAGATATTAGAATAAAAAGTTGTCGATCGTAAAATCGAAACATAAATTTCATTTAATTTGATTAGACTTCAGTGGATTCCCCGGAACGGATATATTAATCTTCGAAATGAGACATAAAAATTGTCGTGCCACTCCAGTATTCGACGGCGCGATGCCGAACACGGCCGTTCGTGGGAAGAATATGGGTCAATACAATTTTATGGGAGGTTCTCCCGCGATAACAAATGCACCGCGGCTTTTATAAGATTGCATTTTCCGTTGGACTCGTTCCCCGCGAATAGCTCCGCTTAAAAAAACCAACCTCCATTATATCTCAGCCTAGATCTCCAAGAAACGCCGGAAACTGTTACAGAAATGGCGGCCACCGATGGAAGAAGAATTTATAATTCATAACTTTGTAACATATAATGAGAATAAACCTTGTAATTTATAATCGAACAGCGGATGTTCGTGCGCGTTTCTTATTTTACGAGACAAATCTCGAGGAAGGACTGTAGAAATTTATTTTCCGAAACATTTTCCCCTTACCCCCCTAAGCAGGAACTAACCTATAACTCCGTATTGAACTTTATAGATTATTAAATTTTAATACTTCATTAAATCTTTCGCGCGTAAAACGACAAATTTAATTGAACCCATCATCTCACGTACGTATTAAGTTTAGGCATTAATTCAGCGCCCTTTCGTTTAATTAAATCACAAGTTTCACATTTCTTCTTTCCTTCTCCACCATCTTGGATTTTTCCGATTTCACCCGTAGGACGGAGCAAGGTTATAAAAAGTAATAACAAATATTTCGATAATTGAAAAACATATGATGAAAATACTGCTAGATGAACTTTTACATTTAATAATTAACTTTTTACTCGATAATCTTCGAACGTCGTCAAATGGATACCACCTATTTTTCACAAGTTGAAACGTTTTCATGAACCTTATTCGATAAGTAATTGCAAATGAAAGGTTTGGTAAATGTTTTATGAATAAAAATAATACAAATTCGATATCGTGGGCAACGATGAATCATATCCGTGTATTCTATGCACCGCTCTCTTTAAAAACTTGAAAAACCACGGAATCCTTTCAACCTATATAAAATGTTTCTCGTGATTCCCAGAACGTCGGAGCCGAATACCGTGAATTCTCTTTACTTGGTACCGTTCGCGTGAACTTCCCCGACGATCGATCCGACCTATCAGTCAAGGCGAAACTGCCGATCGATAAGGGGCAAGCTGGAATCCTCCGGAACGTCGGAAAATTGCGAGTTACATTTGGTGTGGAAACAAGGAATCGAAATGATAACAATTAAACCTTTGCACTCGATTTATTTTCAATGTTGTTGGGTGTAAATTTATATTTATTTTTAAGGAAATGAATTTAAGTAATTTACAGCGGTAAAATTCAACATTTTATATTTACTTTATTTATTATTATTACAATAAGATTGAATTTTTATAATCTTTTAAAGTGCGGTAGACCTTTTAAAACAATTTCCACCGTTCTATAGCAAATTTGTATTGTCTACTTCGACATGATATACGAGTGCGAAGGATTAACCGTCTATGGACCCGTGTGACTTTGAAGTCACATGCGAATATATTGGCATCTTGTTGATTTATTTTATTGTTCATGGTAAAGTGAAGAGTATAATGAAGTAATTAATTAACTTAAACTTTTATACGTTCAGGCGTGAACGTTAAACGTCATTGTAATTCAAATTAATTAAATAATTTAGTTAATTGGAACTAATCTAGTTCCAATAAACTAGGAAAGGGTGTATAATGCCTTTCATTTCCTCCTACAAACTATAGTAATTCGATTTGAGGGTCACTGGGTCACCGATAACCGTCATGTCGTTCAACGTAAAAGTACACAGATCGGAGTGAGTGGTAGTTAACCTGTTAATAAGTGTGAACCGAATTCTCAGTTTTATTCTCAGTTCGATACTGAACGTTGATAACATTTTCATGATGGGCGCTGTCAGTCGTTCTCGCTGGTTAGCGAGAAATTTCGAAATTCCAGGTGAACGTGCCGAAAGTTCCGTGGCGCGTTACGGACAACGCCTTGTCGGCCGCAGACAAGAAAGCCTCATCCTCGTGACAAGTTTAACGATGGAAAGGAGAGGACCGTCGGCGGAACGATAAAATTGTTCTCGCTCCATTTAGAGATTTCCCTCGAAAGTTAACCCCCGTCGACTCGAAGGGGAAAAGTAACATGGGGCCTTTCTCTCCGCTGACCGTTCACGATTATCTAACTGGCATGCCCGAGGAGACATTCTGATCGTCTCGTCGAAAAACGTCGGAAAACGTTTAACCCTATCAATGCTATGTCCGTATACATGCATCCAGCGAAAGCTATCGACGTGGACTGTTGGTTTCATAATGGAATAACGAATCAGTTTTATTTAACGAACAAGGAGAGGGCCAGACATAAAAATCTGTTTTCGAATAGAGCCCTGTGGATGTTATAGTATATATTTAGAACTGAAAAGCCATGAGGGCTTATTTGACAATGGTCTTCCGTTTTCGAAAAAAATGAATTTTAAGTTTGTTTGTTTAACGGTAATTTATAGTTACTCAAATAAAATCATAAGATGAAGCGTATACCTATTTGTCGAACGCAGGACGAACGCACCTAGGGCATATATTAATGAAAAATCAAAGCGAAACGAAGAAAAATTACATGTTTATCTGAGAAAATAAATAATTGATCGTTGAAAGAATTGGTATCATTTTGATTTTAACCCGTTGCACTCGTATGTCATGTCGGAGGTGACAATATAAAGTTATAGAACGTTGGGAATTGCTTCAAAAGCTAGCACACTTTAAAAGATTATAAAAATCAAATCTTATAATAATAATAATAATAATAATAAATAAAATAAATATAAAACGTTGAATTCTTCCGCTGTAAATTACTTTAATTCATTCTCCAAAAAATAAATACAAGTTTACACTTAACGACATTGAAAATAAATCAAGCGCAAAGGGTTAAGACGGCGTGTATACTCATCGAACGCAGTTAGCTGAATAATTTAAACATTTACATTTCCGTTACGACGTCGATTCGTTCGAGAATCTCCTAGAAAACCAGCAGCATCTTTTCGATAATTACGGAAAAAGAACCCAGGAGCAAGTAGCTTTGACCTGTCTAGTGGCTCTAGCGTCAAGGGGTCAAATCTCGGATCTTCTTAGGTGAAAAAGTAATACGCGGCGAAGATCACGTTGAATCGAGGTTGAGTAACGATCTAACGACTTACCTCGTACGCTCTGAAGAGCAGGTACAGCTCCCTCGGCTTGGCGTCCATCGGCAGGCCGCTCACGAACAAGGTGCGCACCTGCGAAAACGAAGAAGAAAGAAAGCGATAATTCAGTTAATTAAGCTAATTGTTGGCGAGGCGGGAGGGTGGTGGGCTAACCGGGTGGGAGTGAAAGAGAAACAGAAGACGCGGGTCGGAGTGTTCCGTACGAAACGGAAAAAGGATTCGTGTCGGGACCTGGAAGGATGGCTGGAGATAACCGAGAATTAGCCTGCTCTGTTTGACTGGTGCTCTCGCGGGGCCAAGCGATAGCTAATTGTCGAATTAATAGGAGACGGTAACGCGAAACGGTGATATCCGTCCACAATTTTGTCCTGTTTCCAATTTCACCGATTTCGTCTATATTTTCGCCCTGTTTAACCTTTTGCACTTGGGAGATGATGGCCATTCGTCATTTATGTAACTCGATGCGACAGGATTTTTAGAGTCTGATACACTAGAGTGAACATTACGTTTCATGTAATATTTACATTTAATTTAAGTTCGACGTGCGGTCAGGAAATGGACTTGGTGTATAATTCACTCGTATAATTTCTCGCGTTCGCGTACACATGTACCTGTGTATACACAATTTCCTACTCATTCGTCAATCTTCTACTTTAACGCACTGTATTTATCGCACTCTTACAGTTTAATACTGTTTCTAACTTTTTTCTTAACTTTGTATAATAATATTACGCATCAATTCCGCAACATCATCCATTCTTCTATCCTGTAGGACTTCCTCTATTCTAACAAGGGAACCTTTTCAACCAGCACACGCAGATTTTGATGGAACTTGTGTGACACATAGTTCTCAAGAAAATATTTGACACATATTTTTCTTATCGGTAGATATCCACCTTAAACGGTAGAGGTATAGAAAAGAAACTTCTTTTTAAATTATTCTCTTCGAAATAAATAATTTAGATTTCCTTTCTACACCCCGTGGTTTCGAATTTGATTTATTTCAAATTTAGGTTTACGGAACGCGTCAATTCGACCCTGACAATCACAAAGTCAATTTTATATTTCGAAGAAATAAAGTAAGTAATTTGCACTGCGATCTATTACGAGAATGGTCCGGCTCGTTAGAGGCAAACCGAAACGTTCGAAGTCGTCGCGGACGTCGAGCCATCAGCCGCTCTCGTAACTCAAACTCCGGGTGTTACGTTTTCAGCGGCGCTCGTATCAGTGCCCGTTGCTCATTCGGAATCATCGAACTTGACAGGGCAAACAAACAGGCCGCGTGTTCGCGTTGCATCCCCGTGGCGAAGGCCTCGAGACGAAACGGCCGGCTGGCTGGTGTCAAATATTGCGAGTCCCCGAATCGTCTTGTTCCGCTGCCGGCTCATTCTTGACCCAGTTGCCGGCGACACGGCCAGCCCACGAACACATTGTGAGGACCACGGAAGTAAGCAACACCGAGACGGTAAATTACGTACTGATTTGGCTGGCTGCCAGCCGGGACAGACCGGTCTGTCCGTCGCTAGACTTTCCTTTGCACGAAGGGAAACACGCCGGATTAACCCTCTGCGACGCGCAATTAAAGAATATCGCTTTGGCAAAAGTGAGTCTTCTGGTTCATCGATTGTAACCTTTTTTCTACATTACATTGTACTTGTGTCGGTTAAAGAGGCCATCCAGATATTTCCTTTGCGAGAAGAGAATTTAATTTATTTGATAGGGTTAAATTTAATAAAAATTTAGTTAATTTTATTAATTTAAAATGAGATTTTCGTATATTTAAGTAGCATGATATACAGTTTATTTAATTTAACAATAACTGAAGAGGATTTATACTTTTGTCTAATGAATTTTATTAAAACTATTGAAGAAATATAGCAGATTAACCCTTTGCAACTTCGCAATTAAAAAATAACCATTAGGGAAAAATTGAGTTTTCGGATTAATCGATTGCAACCTTTTTTCTAAATTAAATTGTTCTTGTCTCAGCTAAAGAGGCCATCTAAGTATTTTCTTTCGACAAAGGGAAACAGCAGATTAACCCTTTCCAGCCGCGCAATCGAATAACCCTTGGAAGAAGTGAGTTTTCTAGTTAATCGATATCGATTGTAACCTTTTTTCTAAATTAAATTGTACGGGGTGTCTCAGATAAAGCGGCTATCTAGTAAATATTTCCTTTGAATCTTGAAGTATAAAAAAGCTTTGTATAAACAAGGATAAATAAGACCACCGGAATTTTTTGCGTACGAAATATATACTTTTCTTTTGCCATATCTTCTGTATGAAAAAAAAGGGAATGAAAGAAATATGTATTTTCTTATCGGCTACTGGGTGTAATACAAGGAAATTAGGTTACACAGCTTTTGCTGAATGACGAAGAGAATGTTCGTAAAAGGATAGATCGAGGAGTAGAAGAGGAGTTAATTAATTAATTAACGAGAAGATAGAAGAATTAATATTCTCTAAGTCATAGTAATTCTTCGATAGCTTCTCGATTAGTCAGCTGTTTACCATACGTGAACAATGGATTACGTTATTATTCCTTCTTATTTTAGTTACATGGTTATTAACCCTTTTTAACGAAAATCACGTCTATGTAATTGCAAAACAAAATTTTATACACGTGAAAAACCAATGTGTTTCTGTTAAAAAGGGTTAGCAAGTGGCGGTTTCACCCCTTCAAATTCGTCACGAGCAAACAATTGCAATGTATTAGGCTTGGCTTGCTCTACTCATACACAAAATTACAGAGTTTCATAATTTTCCGAATCTCCGGGTTTCATGATTTCCCTTGTCAGAACACTCGTTCGATCATCGCTCAGCGGATAGTGAAAACGAGACTTGAAAAACTTCCACCCTCATTTCCCATTTCCCAAGGGAAACAATGAGCTCAGCTTTCAACGAGGCCCCCCACAATGCGGCAAGCTCCGCGGCGACGGGCACGACGACAAGGATCAATCCCGAGGATCGATACGAATCGTCCCACGCGTGGCCGGGAAAACACGCCAGGATTTCCCAGAGTTGAGGGGCACAATGCTGCGAGAGAAACGCATAGTTATACGCGGAAAACACGGAGACAATGGAGCTGCCGCCGCTTTCTCCGCGCGCGTGGCGACGTTCGTCGAAAGGCGAGAGCCAGAAGAGAGGGAAAAAGAAGCGGAACGCGGCGTTTCCTCCTGGCCCCATTCGGATGCGTCGACGGGCACGCGATCCCGTGAAAAGCGAGGGAAATTGTCGCCTTCTTATTCGCGTAAACCGCGCCGCGATGCTTACCACGGCGTGTGCCGGAAGAAGGAGGCTTCACTCGCCGCCGACCCCTGTGACTCCTTCACACGTTGATATCCACGGACGCCTATTCAATTTAACCCTTTCGACTTGTACATATGAGCGACTCAATGGCCAAATCGATTAACCTCAGAAAACGGAGAGCAGAGGAGAATTATGCGGTATTGTACGCTGACTTTTCAATTTTAACACTAGAACTACCGAACATTTAATATGATTCATATCTTATTCCTGTAAAACTTGTAACAATTTCTTGGTTCTTTGAAACCTTTGTATTATTTTGAATAAATCGACAGTTTCCGGAGGTAAGAAGTTTCTGCTTTATATATACTATCGGAGGTTTTGTCTTCTAACGATTGGGAATTTTGAGAGCGGTCTTTAAATAATTTAACGCTAAACGTGCTGCGTTCAGGTAAATGATCGTTTTTGAAATTTGATTCAGAATTCTCAATTTCCATTCGTTCGTTTAATTTATATCGATTTTTATATTGTTTGATTAATCAGTTCATCAATGTTTATCTTTCCTTTCGTTTTTGTTTTTACTAAGAAAAATGTATTATCTAATTTGTTTACCTTTATTTTGTAAGCAGTTATTTAAGTGATTATGATAGGAATAGGTACATATACTGCCGGTACGTTTAGTGTTAAATTTCAATCACTGTTATCAGGATATTTTATACATGTTTTACCTTTATCTTTCCCTTAGAAAATATCACAGCAAAAATTAATCTCGATTTGGATTAAAGAAGACAACAGTTTCTTTGGATATTCCTTATAGTATTCAAGTGAAACTATATATTTTCGAAATCATTTCGAATATTCAATGTTTTTAAAGTGTCAATCATTGCGAGACGAGGGAACCAGTCATTTTGACTGGTACTTAGCTGCAATGTTAAATGGAAAATTAAATAAGCATTATAGATTGTGTTTTACTTGATTATTACAGGTGTAGTCTCTATCATTATTATAGTCTGATGTGACAAAAAGAATTTTTGTGTTTTCGTGGAACTAAACCGAAGAATGGGGAAATTTATTTCAACTAGAACAAGGTAGGTATCAGTCGAGAGCATGGGCGATAAAATTTAAAAAAATTCGGAACCGTAGTTGACCGGTTTAGCTAATAAACGATGAAATTTTGAATTGAAAGTAGCCGAGGGATAGGGAAATCGCTGCACAAACGAGTTTTCTTGAGTGTGAGGTTTTCGAAAGGGGTGGGATTTTCAATGGAAATGGAAGGAAGGATAGGAAATATGGGAACGAGACAAGTTATTTTTCGTGGAACATTTTTCGATAAATGCGGCGGGATTTTGAATGATAAGAAATCGAAGAATGCGAGAGATGGGGTTTGAACGAATTTGTTCAAGTGTAAGATTTTCTGAATATTTATTTTGTAGTGAGAAGAGAGGAGTTTTGAATTGAAGTCGAACGTAAAATGTGGAAGATGGGGTTCAAAGACACTTTCTTAGATATAGGATTCTTCACTAAGAATGTTTGAATTTTGGTAACAAGAGGAACGCAAAAGATGTGGTTGAAACAAATTTTCTTAAATATAAGGGTTTCCAAAAGGAGTAGTGGAATTTCAAATTGAGATAACAGGGACAATGCGAAAGAAGGGGCAAAAACAAATTTTCTTAACCTAGATCATATCCCAGGGTCTTTTCCAACCGAAATCAAGGTCAATTTTTGCTGTGATTTTTTTCAAGGGATGAAGTTTAAATATGTGGCGGCCGAAAAGCTGCCTTACGCCACTGGATTTCCTCGCTATTCTTTTCCCGTTAACGCT